TTGGCCAATAAAGTTGATTCTGATTTTGATCTTCCCAGGTCTGCGAGGGTCCATTCGGACTCAGGCAGACCCTCAAATCTTAATATGAATAAGAGCGTGCGTGTGTGTGTGTCCCTCATCCATGTCTGTATACACACAGGGGTATGCGGAAAGTATGATTAGACCTTAACTATGAGGATAGCTTGTTTAAATGTCATCTGATCACTGCTCTTTGGATTTACATTTGGTATTAATAAACATATTTGTTATCCCCATTCTGACTGAACTGATCAGATCTCTGTATGTACTGTATATTAGGAAGGCAAGGATGGTCAACCTCAAACAGATTAGAAGAGGCAGCTTGAGACTGCAGGAAGAAACAGAACTGAGTGACCTTGCAACACTGGATTTTTGTCTTTTTTAAGAAAGACTTGGCTTGACTGTACAGATTCCACCTGGCTGAGATGCCAGTGCTGCCAGACCACCTACACATGTAAATCCACTATCATTCTGATATAGTAGATTTACTCCTGCATTAAAGGGTAGATTCATATTTCAAGTCTATATTAACTGAATACTTGCATATGTGCACAGAAAAGGTTAGTGATCACTGTAACCAGTCCTTCAAACTTGCTGTGAAGAAATATCTTCTTAACACAATTCATTCTGTAGTCCATATGAGGTTTCTGCAGTATCAGAAGCCAAAGACCAAGAATGGCTATCTTCTAAAGTTAACAAATAGGCTGTAACTTCAGGATACTGTTGGAAGCCAAATGGATCATCATCTGCTTTTCCCTGCTGCTCTGTGTTTTATACCTGGTTTAATATTGCAATAAGCACTCAGCGTTTGTGAACACTGCTCCATGTGCCTGTGCATATGTGCTGGGGGAGGGCGTTCTGCATTCGGCCTATGTGAACACAGCTTTATGCTGCTGTGATGATTCGCTGGCCATTTCCTGTTTTGGACTTTTATTTCCTGTCATGCTACAGCCCCAAATTGACTCTGCCCCGACTACACACATAGCTAGTATAAAACATAAACAGATGGCAATGCCTGTCAGAAACTAGAGTTTATGGCTAAGAAATCTTTGGGGTCTCCTAGTGAGAAACTGGCAGTCTGACTTTTGCCCTCTGTTCCCATCAGAGTGTCACAGCTTTGGCAGAGACAGACAGTGGCCCGTCCAGCCATGATGGATGGCCACTCTGATGAAGAGGACACAGCCAGGTCCCACAGCGGTGGGAAATGAGACACCTGTCACTCCTTTCTTGACTCCTTCAATCAGAGAATCCACCAATCATATTCAGCCAAAACAGCAACCTTGGCCCACCAGTGTATTACCATTCTGTCAGTGATCCAGAAGACAGGAAAAAGCTGTTGCTAATGATGAACAAAGGTGTGACCTAAACCCTCCAATGCTTACACCCCATATGGATTCATTCTGGGATAACACCTCAGCCTAACGGGTATTATTCATCATGTGAATGGTGACAGCATCTGATACTGGTGGCATAAATGTCTTCAATCTTAGCAAAGGTAGTGGAAGGGAAGATATTAATAGGGAGGATTAGAAGGTAAAGCATGATCATTGCAGGACATCCACCGCAGGCCAAAACACATCCCAAGACTGCAGAACAGATTTTACAAAACAGTGGCAGCTTCAGGGACACCTCATGCAGGAAAGGGGTAGCAATTTAAATACTGTTATAAAGACTAGCCAGGACTCCATGGGGGAGACTTGCCTACTGCTGCACATCTTTATGAGCAGAGAAAATAGCTTTTATTAGAATCTATGCACCAAACAACTACAAACCAACATTGTTTCCACAGGTCACCAAGGACATACCAACCCTCACAGACTACTGGCTTAAGATGGGAGCTGATATGAATGCCTTTATAACCAACTTGATAAAGAAGGTAGAAAGTGATATAACTAGGTGGAAAGTGTTTCTGTTGTCAGTCATGACTAAAATTTCAGTGATAAAGATGAATATTCTACCCTGCATAAATTTTACTGCTGCTATGAAGAACCAGGTTGATGAGAGCACTGACAATGAACCAGTATTTTTGTACCAAAGTAATGAGCTGAAAGATGCTAAAATAATTGGGAGGGCTGAGGAAAGTTGCTAATAATTCTCTCTGGGTTCATCTTTCACATTAGACATAGTCATTTTCATAATAAAAAAGATTTCCTACTGCTGCTACTTGAGATTGAACGTGCTCAACTGTAGAACGCTGGCTTAGGTATTTCTCACAGATGTTACAATTGATGTATGTATTTTCATTGTTGTTGTCAGTGGATCAGTTTTACATACAGTACATGGAGGGATGAGACAATGAACACTGATAAAACATTTTTTTGAAGCACCTACAATATTGTGTTTAATCTGTTATCAACCTTGCTCATGTATTGCCCTGTCCCATTGTCCATGCTCCTGTGTCCAATATTTGTGGAATGAATAAATTGACATCCAAGAATCATGAAAGCAGAATCCTCTATCTACCCTGCCTTTTCTTGCTCTCAGCAACCAAACTACTACTGATCATTTTCTACCTCCCTCTTCACTTTCCAGGTTTTCCTCCTTCAACCCTACTAGGAGAAACTCACATTGCTAAACACACATTTTTTTCTACTACAGCTGTATAATAATTTAACCTATTACATAATAGTTTCCCATGCATGATATAATTCTGTCTCTTATGCAAATGGTAGAGAGCTGTAATTTACTTCATACAAGCAGTAAAGCAGCAGTGCTCTGGTCCTAATAAAGCTGTGGCTGCATGTGAGTCATCGTCCACAGGCTCTTATGCCCACCTCTAATCACCCCTGAGGAAGGCTCGGACGGGAAGGACCAGTCAGGAGGAAAAGCACAGTATCTCAGCATTGATGCACATGACAGACAAGCCTGTACATTCTCACTGACTTATGTTCCACAGTCTGGTTTTTAATATTGTTGCCTGTGCACTACAATACTATAAATATAATACTAAAAATGAAATCAGTCAGTGTAAAATAAGCTAATTAACCCAGTACTACCTTAAAAGATGTCTCCCAGTTTGTGCTGCAGCTCTAGGGGGATTGGAATCCAAATGCAGACTTTCAACTAAGATGGCTAATCTACTGCCTATGTGACTAAAATGTTTTTACTGGCAATATTTCAGATGCATGTCTTTGTTCAAAATAAACACTCACTTCAATTTTGATGGTGCAACAGATTCTGAAAAACGTTCCTTTTCTGTTCCTTTTCACAACACTTAAAAGATGTTTAGGGACTGAGGACACCAAGTGATTAAGTGTGCCAGGCGTTATTTTGTCCCATTCCTCCTGCAAACAAGTCTTAAGGTGCACAACAGTCCTGGGTCTTTGGTGACACAATTTGTGTTTCAAAATGCTCCACACATTCTCTACTGGAGACAGGTCGGGACTGCAGGCAGGCCGGTCAAGCAATCACACCCTTTTCCTCCCCAGCCTGGCCTTGTTAACGTGCACAGTATGAGCTTTTGCGTTGTCTTGTTGAAATATGCATGGGTGTCCCTGGAAAGATGTCATCTTGAAGACAGCATGTGTTGCTCCAACATCTTTGTGTTTTTTTCAGCATCAATGTGCCATCATAGAAGTGGAAGTGACTTTTGCCAAGGGCACTGACACAACCCCAGACCATGACAGACCCTGGCTTTTGGAGTTGTTGCTGGTGACAGTCTGGATGGTTCTTTTTGTCTTTGGTCCAGAGCGCACGGCATCCATTCCTTCCAAAAAAGATGTGAAATACTGATTGGTCTGACCACAGTACAGGTTTCCACTGTGTGATGGTCCATCACAGATGTCTCTGAGCCCAGAGTAGTCGACTTCTGGACACTGTTGTCATAAGGCTTCCTTTTGGCACAGTACAGTTGTAAGCAGCATTCACAGATGTAACTACGTATTGTACTGCCTGACACAGGTGTGCCATAGGCATCCTGATCCCATGTGGTTATATCGCTTATAGAAGAGTGATGATTCTTGATGCAGTGATGTCTGAGGGATCAGAGAGCACGGTCATCCAGCTTAGGTTTGTGCCCTTTATACACTGAAATCCCTCCAGATAACTTGAATCTTTTAATGATGTTCTGCACCACAGAGGGTAACATATCCAAATCCCTTCCTATCTTTCTTTGAGGAACATTGTTTTTAAACATTTCAATAATTTTCTCACACATATGTTGCAAACTGGTGGTCCTCGGACCATCTTTGCTCCTAAAAGGCTCGGCCTTTCCTGGATGCCACCTTTGTACCAAATCATGACACAGTCACCTGCTGACATCACCTGTTTCAAATGGAATTTTCATTTCATTGTTTTACCTCATTACTGGCTGTGAAATGCAGTCGCCCAACTTTTTTGGAATGTGCTGCAGCATCAGGATTGAAGTGAGTGTTTATGTTGAACAAAGAATAAAATTGATGAGGTGTCACATCAAATAATGTGCTGCTGTATTGTTTTCAATGTAATACAGGACACAGATGATTTACACATCACTGTTTTCAGTTTTAATTTTACATACTTTTTCTGATTTGGGGTTGTAGTAAACCAAAGTGACGGGCACTACGCTATTCCATTATCCCACAGTGGTGGCAGGGCAGGCTTAAAGCTGTTATAATGTTCATACTAGGACAATTATTATGTCATTTCATTAAGTTTTGATATTTTTCAGTTAAGAAAATAACCATCAGGTTTTTGAATATGTGATTTGTCGTTCCAAGTAAGGCCAATTTGCTCAGATATTTTTGGAGATGTAATGACCTGCTAATGTTCCAGCTAGCTAGCTCTACTTAGCAGGCATAGCCTTAGCCATTGAGCCATGGAGCCACTAGAGAAGTGCTAAAGAGCCACATGTGGCTCAGTGGCCATGGGTTGCTGACCCCTTTGCTAGGCTAATACAGTACTCACTGAATACACTATAATTATGATTTTAATCCCCACCCCACCCCACAGGGCCCCAAGCGAACATACATGGTGCTTTAGAAACAACATGTAAATGGACTCACGTTGTAAAGAATGTCCACCCATCCCTCCATCGTGATGCACTGGAAAACGGTGAGAATAGCAAAGAGGATATTGTCAAAGTTTGTGATGCCAAAGTTGGGTCCGATCCAGTACTCTCTACAGACGGTGCCATTGGCGCATGTCCTCGCCGGAGTCTCCAGGCCACAGGGGAAGTCTGATGTCTGCTCACCTAAAGCCACAAACACACATTCATAAAGTCATATAGAGAGAAATACACAAACAAAGTGGAATTTTTTGAAAAGATTGGAGATGTATTATGTAAAAGTACCTCTAGTGTAAAAACACGGAAAAAACATTTTACATATAATATATGGGTTCAACTACAATGACACACAAGATGCTGCTATGGGCCTACGCTGCTGCAGGGCCCCCACAATGCTCTGAGCTTTTCCTAACCATTAATCACTGTACAATCAGCACTGTGGCTGTCACAATAGTAGGGTTAAAGATTTAAAAAAATATTTTAGATAACAGTTAAATAGCTCTACATAAAGAAAATGTATGGTGCATCATACCCTAAGTGGTTCATAAAGTGTTCTGTGGAGAAATAAGTGTCAGTGTGGATCTGTTGGGTAAGGTTTGGACACAGTTTATTCAGCCTTTCTGCATCTGAATACTTAAATTCAGTTAGGCACCTAATACCAGCATTCAAGATGTGTGATGCACCTGAAAAAGCAACCAAGATCTATTTGTTTGCTCATGTCAGTCTGTGGTTCACTCACTCTTCTGTCTGTTCCAGGTAGGGGTCACCTCAGCGACACAGTTTGCACTTACTGAAAGCTTACACAGTTACTTTACAGTGAGGTGTTTTTAACAGTTGAAGAAATGGGTCAGGTTTCATATCGCATCACAGTTCATTATAAAATGTACTAATTAGTTAATACTGCATATCCTTAGCCAATAAACAGGGATGATTAAGGTTCTCTCAGCATGTGCCCACAACAAATACTTGTTTAAGCTCAGCTGCCTATCTTGCCTACCTGTGTCTATCCTGAAGCAGGCACGATGGAACTTGCCCATGTAGAAGTCAAGGCCAATAATGGCGAACATGAGGATAGCAAAGAAGAGCAGCAAGCCAATCTGCAGCAGAGGTACCATGGCTTTCATAATGGACTTTAACACCACCTGAAGACCTGAGGCAAACAATAAACATGACACAATTTTATTTTGTTTGTTTTGTTTTACCTTTATAAGGAACGTGACAATGTAAGGACAGACGGGAAACATGGAGAGAGAGAGAGAACAGTATGTATGTCAGTAGCCCTTTTTAAACTGACTGTTCAAGGCAGGTATATAGTTGCATTTTGCTGTTTCTGTGTTAAAGAATGCAAACCTGGGATGGAGGTTAGTTGATGACATGGTAGTTCTGTGACTTGCCACAGGTGTAATTCCCCTCCAACATAGGCACATGAACACTTTGCTCACAAGAATCTGAATCATTAACATGCTGTACACAATCCACAACAATTGAGTATGCCATAACTGTGCAAGACTAGCAAAAGCTCATCAATACTCAGTTTCCCTATTACCCTATTTTTATGTATTGTGTTTTAATACTTTGTCACCCTTATGTAACTTTTTATTTTAAGACTAAGTGTTCTTTCTGGCTTTTGACTCCTTACCTGACTCCAAAGGAGAGCTGCACAAGAATTCCTATATGCCTAGACTGTCTGTTTATGCATAAATGGCAAATAATATAAAATAATCCCCCTCCATTGAAAATAACACTAGTATGCTCTGTATTTCTGATGCATGTATTATACATCATACTGGATGTCATGTTCACCTCATACCTTTATACTGGAATGCCAGTAACTGTCTAAAAGGAACAGTAGGGCAACATTCTACTCGCTTTGTTTGGCTTAGTGTAAATAAGCAAAACTGTCAATAATGAAGTGCTATTAATCATTACATACCAAGCTCTCTGTTTAAAAGTAACTAGCAGCAACTATTTTCATTAAAAGAATAATTGAGTGACGTGTACATCTATGCACATTTCATATCTGTGTGTTAAGTATTTAGCCAGAATCATGATATGGTTAGTCTAGCTCATGATAAAGCCAGCCTGGACCTGTCCAAAGTTCAAATATACTCCTTTGAACAAAGCTCACTGATTGATACACTGTTTCTCATTTGTTTAGAATTAATAATTAATAATGTGAATTATTAATGTGCTGTAACTATGTCTTCATTAACACCTTTTTGTCCAGTCACCTATTTCTGCCTTATTTGTAACTATTCTTGGTTGCCTGGTTGCCCTTGTTGCCCAGAGCTTGGTTTTGGTCTCAGATTCGACAACCTCACTGAGATGACAACGCAAGTCACTGCACCAGGCTGTTGTCCAACACATAACTCTCTCTAAAACCCTGCCTAAAACAACCGTCATAAACCAGGCTCACTACTGATTCCAACTCCATTTCTGGAATCTGTTTGATAGTGGTGTATTGTTAGTGTTAACTGATAACTTACTTGGAATACCAGAGACCAGTTTGAGCGGCCGCAGTACTCTCACTGCCCTTAGTGTTCTCAGATCAAAATCAGCTCCCACGGTGGCCAGGATCCTGCACACACAATAATAGCATGGAGTCAATATTCCAAGCAGCTATACGTGCAGTAAATTTCATTGTGCAGCGTTGGCTTATCTAAAACACCTCTGCAAAAAACAATTTTTAAATGTGCTTCATTAAAGAGCTTTTCCTTGTTTTTTGACTTATCTACAATGTTACAGTGGTGAATTATCATCCTAGACGTGACCTAAAGCTAAAAAAATTAGGCGTTTGTATGTTCTAGTACTTCTATGCAGAAGTAACTGGTATATACACATCTCGCAAACTCTCACTTGTGAGCCTTTTTTCTAACAAAATAAAGTCTTATGTGATAGATTATGGATTTTCTTGAATGGGCATAATCTCCAGGCAGTTGGGCAGTCATGTGAGCTTGTCTGACATCCACTGGTGCCATTGTAAAAGTGGAATTTTTCAACTGCACAAGGTTTTGTGGATAAATTTTTCCTGCTGCTGCACTTTGACCAGAAGCTGTGGAGAAATTCATGACTGTCATGACTTCTCCTTTTTTCTGTGTATAACTAAACTGGCAAATAAACAATGATAAAAAACCTGAGAAGATTTTAAAAAATATCTTTGAAAATAATTTTTGTCCTGAGTGAAATATTTGAAACTAAAACTACACATTACACAATAGTTTAAGGATTTCCTTGAATGGTCAATCTCCAGGCAATAGCGCATTCATGTGAGCTTGCCTGACATCCACTGGTGCCATCTTTCTGTCACGCTACAGGAAGATGTGTTATTAACCACCCAGATAAATTTGAATGATTAAAAAGATCACCATGTATATAAAATTAGCTATCAAAATCATAATCATAAAAAATAAGGAATATTCTGTGCTCTGAAGTGCTGGGGCATGTTGGGTGAAGACACTGAAAACACACCAAATAACAGAAATGTGCCACCTGTTCTCATCATCAATGTTTTAAGGGAGAACCTTTTACATACAATCAATGGGGAGAATGTAAGAAAGATGTATTTGTGGGCATACTGTAGCTAGCTAGCTGGCAAAATATAGGCTGTAATAGGTGTAGTAACTCATGATCAAACAGGAAACCTGAATACTGAGTGAGATTAGAAATATGGTTTTGGTGTTTATGGAGCCACTTCTCCTTTCTAATGGTGTTTCAATGAGAGTGGGAAATGCTCAACTCCTACACACACAAACACACACACACACACACACAGACAGGGAGCAGAGAGCTGCTGTCACAGCAGTGGAGACAGGGAGCCCAGGAAAAGTGAGACTAACATTTCTATTACATATAGGCTTTGCCCTCTAAGACCTGTCGCTATTGGGTTCATCCCCACACGCAAGCACAATTGTGAAGACTTACTTTCGCGCCCTGTGTCCTGCACTGGGCTGACTTCCCTCAGGTCCGCCTACACCTGAGCTTTCTCCCCTTTTTCTTCAGCACATGAAGCAGTCATTTATGAAGATAGGTAAGATGAGCTCCAGTCAGCGATGTGCAACAGCAGTAACCGTTTGCCCAGGCTTCATCATGCCCAATGACCCCCACCCCCATTGCGAGGCCTGTCCTGGCGCTGAGCACGCAGAGCTGGCCACATGTCCTTTCTGCACACATCTTCCTGAGGTGGGGAAACGGTGGTTTCTGGCGGTGTTCGCAGCCATCAGAGATTGGGATCCTGATGATGGCAGCTGGGCAAACTGGGACAAAGAATTCACGGTGGACAGGGCTCAGGAGTTCCTTGAAAACTTTGACTTGATGAAAGGCCAGTATGCCTCAGGTCCCCTGAATCAGTTCCCCTCCATCGACACAGTGGGTGACTTAGAGACCGGCAGCAACAAGGTCTCACCAGCACGGTAGTCGGCCCTGGTCGTTGGCCAACTACCAGTCTTTGGGGCCATGCTTTGCGATCTCCAGAAACTCATCAAGACTGCAGCTGACTACAAAGGGATCCCCCTCCTGCCAGAAGCGCCAGCCCCTTCTCCTTCCAACATAATGGGCGACCTCTATCGGACAAAGTAACAGAGCAGGCATAGTCCTGTATGGCCCAAGTTCCCTACCATCCGCCCCTTCTTATTGGAGTCAGCTGAGCACCCTGGGTCTGAACATGCCAGTTGCACACCTCGACCACATCACCGGAGTCCAGGGAGCAATGGAAAACAGTTTTCCTGCTGTCCCACCGCTAGAACTGAGCCTGCCCACCATCCTGCTGCCCAAAGCAGTGTTTTTTGGGAGACAATGGCCGACTCTACCCTCTCCCAAGTCACCACCTGTCTCACCAACTGCTCCCACCATCGTGCTCCTCTGCTGGACAGTCCCATCAGCCCCAATGGGCTCTTTGGGGTGCAACTCCAGGAGGCAGTCTCCCACCTGTAGCAGGCATCAAAGGAAGCAGAGAAAGCGAGACTGTTCACACTGTGGGGCCGAGGGCGCCCTCAGCCTCCTTAGGTTGACTGGCACAGTTGCAGAAAGCTGCACACCAGACAAACATGCCCTGCAGCTGCCACTGCCTCTGCTGCTTCCCAACCTGATTCTCCATCTCAGCTTGCCTTCCCCCCTCAGCCATATGCTCCTGACTGGCTAGCATATTCCAGGCTAGCTAGTTTGTTAGCTTACAGGTACTTCACAGACTAGTCCTGCAAATATTCCATGTCACATGCCTCTTGCAGTAATTCATGAAGGTACTGGGATGAATTTCACTGTGCCATTTTCTGCTGTGACTGGGCAGACTGATTATGATACAACTCTGTTGTATTGATGGAATTAGTGCTGTGGAAAGTTACATTACATTTGAGGGGGCACAGTTTCACAATTCCACTGTCATAAAAAGTTAAAATTATTCATATCCATTTATTTACACCATAAATTCAATCTACAGGGGGGTGTATTTGTTTTCCATTAATTTACCCTATTCTGGGTATGCATAAAGCTTGAATTCCCCTTTAGTGATTGTACTTTACATTAGTGGAAAATATGCTTTAGTACGTTCTTGCTGAGAGTTAAATGAGAAACTCAGTATCACTCTCATGTTGGTATAGTAAATATGAAGATAGAGGCTAGTTAGCATAACACATCACATCATGTAATTGGCCAGTTCTCTCCTGTCAAGGTCAGGGACCAACCCCGCTTCCCTTCTTTTTAAAATATGTACTATATATACTTATTACCAAACTGCATCGAGTTGAACACAGCCATGCATCACACCCTCACACCCACAAACCAAAAGTAAAACCATCCTTCTGAAACGGAATTTGTTGACTTTTGTATTTGGATGTTAGAAGAAGCTAAAGGAAACACAGAAAAGCATGCCATTGGCACTTTAACGTAGAAGTGACATACTGTATGTCTGAATGACAGGAAGCAGATGCTTAAGAGACCGATGAAACTAGCAATGTTATGTATCCTATGTCTGAAAAGGGCTATATACTGTATAAAGTAGATAGAGGTGAAGGAGGAGGGGCATGAGAGGGATATACTGTAGAAGAAGAACAAGGAGAAGAGGGTAGAGGGAATGACAAGATTGAAAGAACATACAAAAAGGCCAAAAAGAGAACAAAAGAGATGTACAGTATAGGTTAAAAAGCAGCATGAATGATAAAAGAGAAATGTGGTAGAAGGAAGATGTAAAAATAAGAACAATACAGAGGAATGGAGGATGCAGGAGGCATAAAATAAGATAAGGCAAAGGAGGATGTAAAAGAAAAGAAGGAGATAAGAGGGGTATGGTGGTTAACTCCACAGCAAGAAGGTTCTGGGTTCAAGCCCTGGCTGAGTTTCCATGTTCTCCCTTTGCCTGCGTGGGTTCTCTCCAGTTACTCCAGCTTCCTCCCACAGTCCAAAGACATGCATCTTAGATTGACTGGTGACTCTAAACTGTCCATAGGAGTGAGTGTGTGTGGTTGTTTGTCTCTAAGTGTCAGCCCTTTGATAGACTGGTGTGCACCCTGCCTCTCGCCCAATGTCAGCTGGGATTGGCTCCAGCCCCCCCCCCCCGCAACCCTCATCAGGATAAGCAGTATACATAATGGATGGATGGATGGATGGATGGATGGATGGAGATAGAGGGGAAAAGACCTCAGAGGCTCCAAAAAAATAGGAAGGAGACATTTGCCCTGCATGAAATAATAAACTTCAGCCCTTCTTTTTCATTTGAATGGGGAAAGTGCATTATGGAGTGGCAACTGGCACCAAAGAAGGTTTGCTAAAATGATGCGACATTGCACAAGAAAAACAAGTTGTCACCATAAAACACATGATGCCATGAAAGCTTTCTAGAGTTGTATTCTCCTGTCTGTGAGTAGGTTATTTTAAACCACTGTGCTTTGTTTTAGTATCTAATAAGCTTAAAACACAAATCCTTTCCTCCACTGGATTTCCTGGATTTCACTGTCTCACCAGTACATGAAAAAGTACACCCCCACCAATACAGCCTTCTGCGTTGTTTTAATGTAGAGCAAATGTCTGTGTGAATGCAGCCTTACTGAGGAGTGGAGGGGTGGAGGGAAGGTTGAGAGGAAAGATGAGGAGCAACAGAAGATGGAGAGAAGGAGGAGAGAGTGGGGTGGGGGAGATGAACTGAAAGAAGAAAGGGAGGAGCGGTGGATATACAATAATAGACTGAGTCTGTCCAGTCAGACTCCTCTGTTCTACCTCTATAACTGCTGCTGTCTAGTCCAAGGGAGAACCATCACTATGGGATCAAGTGTTTACAGCTGCAGATAGCCAGGCATGCTATACATCTCACTTATACACACATATACACTCACAGATAGCACGTGATGTGACTGACATAAAAGAAAGCGTCACACTTGATGTGGTCAAATATGGTCTGTAATTTTATTGTGTTTTTAAAATTCTTAGTAAACAAAGAGTGGAAGCACACAGGACTGTAGAGATGACAAACTCGGCTAAGGAACCCATTCATACTGTAAGAGTAGCAACTCTCCCTTCTTCAGCCTTTTAACCTTCCATTTATGTCCATTATTAACTGGTCAATAGGAAGCAGAAAATGCTTAGGTGTCTCAG